CGGTGGAATGACCATGGGTTTGGTGGAGGTCGCAGAAAGCATTCTCGTCGTAATTCGAATTTCTCGTCCACGTGTTACCCGTAGTTCGCCCTTGCTCCGAACCGGAGTTGATAGCGTAGTTATGCGCCCCTCGGAGATCCTGTCCCTCGTGATGGACGAATTTGTCGTTACGAGAGCTTTTCTTTTTCTGTTTCTGTTCTGACGCGTTATCCCTTGCGGATGTTTTCGTCGGCTTATGCTTCTCGGACAAGACTTTAGTTTCCTCCTCGATGGTTATGAAGTCGGTGGCCTTATGGAGCGCGTCTTGGATCGTCCGCGGTTTCTCGAGAGTTATCCATCTGCGGAACTCCGATTTGTACCAGAGCGATTTTCTTAACGCGTCGATGGCGGCTTTGTCGCTGATCCCGCTAACCCTAGCCATGACGAGATTGAACCTACTCATGAAATCGCGGAGAGATTCGTCTTCCTCCTGCACCAAGCTCCAGAGATCGGCGTCGGAGGTCTCCGGGTTGATGAACATCGAGTACTGTTTCAGGAACTCCGAAGCCAGTCGACGGAAACTTCCGATCGAATTTCGCCTAAGTTTGGCGAACCATTCGAGCGCGGCTCATTCTAGGTTTTCGACGAAGAGGCGGCAGTAACCTGCGTCTTTTTCATGGTCTTTGAGCTTGGCTCGTCCCATGGTGATCTGGAACGCTTGCAGGTGCGCTTTGGGATCGGTCGTCCCGTCGTAAGTTGGCACCTTAAGCTTTCCGGGATCGGGCAGTTTGATCTCGGTGATGCGAGCCGTGAAAGGCGTTTTCCGAGATTCGTATTGCAGCCGATCGATCTCGGGTGCGACGCTGGTCGCGTGGTGAATCTGAGATTTCACCGCTTTTACCGCTGCGGCTGTTTTGGTAATGTATTCGCGGAGGTCGCGAATCTCGGTCTGATTGCCAGCAGTTTTCCGACCCTGTCGGCGTTTGCTGCGAGTGACCGGAGATCGCTCCTCGGCGGTTTTTGCGTATCGCGCGAAGTTGGGTTCCCCTTCGTCTCCAGT